TTTGCATGCTAGCGACTGGCGAATTTAACATTGCGATGTCCTGGGAAGTGTCAATTGTCCCGCGTTGCATCCCTTTGGCTCTAGTTCCGAACCAGTTCTAAATTCGACAGATAAGATCTAGTTCGATCTGCATAAATTTTTTATAGTTCCCAACCTGCTTTGTGTGACAACATCAAGGCGCACGCTACAAATCGGAGGAGAAGCTCGGCCAAACACTAACCATATGTGTAAGCGCCAATGTATAATTATTATTATTATTAGATCTACATTTCTAATCAGGCTTGTCGAAAAATTTCCCTTTTATATTAAATACGATCGGTTGAAGGAAGGACAATACCATCACAAATGTTTAAACGCATTTAATAAAAATTTACCACACAAAACCACATTAGTAGTAGTTAGTATTAAACTTAAGAAGTAAGTAAAAACAAAAGAGCGTTCTGCTTAAAAGTAAAAATATTAGTTCACTTTGTCTTACTTGTCTAAATTTAAGCATATTGATTTTTAAGTAAATTCAGTTCTCTTTAAGCTTATATGCATATGAAGTACTTCGAAAGTTTTTGTCGTACTTAACTTAAATAAGATATACAGTCAGTCAATAAAGTTTAGGTACAGCGAAGTTTTTACAATACCGGCAACTAGTTTTTTTGTTGTTTGGTAAGCCCTAGCTTCCTCATACTTACACTTCATTATACTAAAATTGAATGGGCTAAAAAACTGCAAACTCAACTTTTTTCTAGAGAGCGTAAATAGAAAGTGAATTATTTTAATGAAATTTTGCAGAATTTTCTTAAATTTTGCAAAAGGTTTGGAACTCTGATTTTTGGGGATTTTGTTGTAGAATTGACCATATTTTTATAAAAAATTACCGAAAACTAAAATATTTCGAAAATGGTTGCCCGTATTGTGAAAAATTCGTTGTACCTAAGCAGCGTTGCCATTTTAGCCGTTTTCCGGCTAGATTTAGCCGGTTTTGATAGCAACTAGCCGGAGAAAATTCGATCTAGCCGGCAGCCGATTTGTTAGCCGGTTTGTAAAAAAAAGTTAGCCGTTTTTAGCCGATTTTACTATTTGCCTAATTTTCAGGTGCAAAAAGTAAACAAGTTGTTCGAAAGCAATAATGCAGACCCAATGAAGATTTTTAATGAACTCAATGTTTTACTTTCGCATCTATGCTCCCTAGTGGTTATTAGCGCGGACACATTTGATCCTATATGCTCCCCGTTGGAACCATACCTTGCTCCATTTCCTCAGTTTTATCACAGTTTTGAAGAGTATTTAAAAACAAAAGTAAGCACAAACGCTTTTGACCACGAAGCCGAGAAAATAATTCGAGAAAATGGTCGCTATTTTATTATCACTTTAATAAAGGAATTACGCCAACGCCTCCCTACAAATATTGCCACACTAAAAAAATTGACTTTTTTCGGTTGGAAATGCATTAAGAGTAATTAAACCAAAAGTATTTGTTCAACTACAGCAACAAAAACACAAATATAATGCCGACGAAATAACATCCATAGAGATGCAATGGCAACGGTTAACGTTACATACCTGGAGTAATTTAGACTCAACTGTAAAATTTTGGGCCGAAGTTTATCAATTTCGAAATGCCCTAGGAGAAAACCCTTTTGCTGACCTTTGCAACCTAGTTTTTAGTTTTCTTGTTTTGCCTATAAGTAATGCAGAAGTAGAGCGAATATTTAGTTCAATGAATATAATAAAAACTAAGCAAAGAAATCCAATGTGCGTTAAAACGTTAAACGCTATTTTATATATAAGATACGGTTTAAAACGTGAAGAAAAATGCTGCCATAATTTTACTGTAGATGACGATCTCTTAAAATTAATGAATTCAGGTGATATATACAATAGTGATTCATTTGATGATGAGGAATATACACTCGATATAAATTAATGGTGTTAACTAGTCTTTCGTTTCTTGCGATTTATTTAAATAAAGCATGTGGATTTTCACTAAAACATTTTAGCCGTTTTTTGCCAGAGTCTATGTGAAATTTCACTAAAACATTTTAGCCGTTTTTAGCCGCTTTTTTTTGCCAATCTAGCCGGTCGGCCCAAAAAGTTCTGGCAACACTGTACCTAAGTTTTATTGACTGACTGTATTAAGGTAGCTGTGCTGGATTGCATAAAAAAAAATTAATTTGTCTTTTCTTAAAAAAAAAGTAGCTCTGGTGGCTTGCATTTTTAAATAAATTTAGTGAGAAAGTGGTAATTATTCTGACACTTTTTTTAATGCCTTTTTTTCTGATCTTGGCCTTTGTTTATGGAATCACTAAGTATAATGATTATTAAGCAACTCAACTATACCAGCGTGATTACCGGCGTATCCTTTTGAGAGGTAGCCGCACCCTTATAAAAGCAATAAGACCCAAACTTTTCAAGTCAGAATTACAGTAGGTTGCGTCTGTATGGCCTTTTCAATTTTATAAATTATCATTACTTTTAAGTGGAAAAATAAAACTCAAAATTAATGATAATCTCTGCGCGAAAAAATAAAAATCATAAAATAATCATTATTTGTAATGATTACCTTCCCTGCTTTTAAAATTTAAAATAAATAAAAATAAAGCTTCGCTAGCGTATACATCTTCTGCCCTCATCTGAAGCTTTTTACCACCTGCTAATCAACTGTTGCCTTCGTTTTCTTACAAACAAGCAGGAAAAACACCTCATATGGATTCAGCCGGTAAGCGAAAAGCACAAACTTCACTCAAAGATTCGCCCGCTTCAAAAAATTTGTGCCTTGAGAGTAACGGTTCACTCGCTGATTCCGTACTCGCAGCTCTGAAATCAACGGAAAACAAAATTCAGCTGATGGAAGAGAGGATTCAAGAGCGGTGTTAAATCGTTAAGCGTTTTTAACGACCTTATATCACGTGGTATGCAAGGATGCTCCCAATAATTTTAGATTAATAAAAAGGAAATGCGCAACACAAAAATGCGGTTAAGTGACAAATTTTATTAGCGTTTTCCTCGTGTAGGAATTGACAAGTCGAAATGAAAAACGAACGAACAAGCAAAGCAAAAAGAATAAACAATCAGCAGTAAGTCATCGGTGCTGCCAGATTACCAACATCCTCCGCCCGTTGAATGCTTCAGCCTTCAACCACATTATCTGAAATCGGCAGGAGGCATAGTTTCGTCAGCGCCCTTTTGTAGGTTCCCTGGGCGGTTTTTAAAAGCGCGACTCGAACAACACCGTCGCCACCAGGGATCGTTTCCAAGACTCTCGCCAAGGGCCACTTCAATGGGGGTTGATTTTCGTCCTTAATTAGGACCATAGCCCCAACGCGCAGATTCGGTGGGGAGCCATTCCACTTATGCCGATGCTGAAGGAGAGTCAAGTACTCCGTCTGCCATTTCTTCCAAAATTGCTGCTGCATGTAGCACACTCTCTGCCATCGATTAAGGCGACCAATGTTTAAAGTAGTAACGTCGGGTTCTGCGATAGAAGTAAACTGTTCACCAATCAGGAAATGGGCTGGAGTCAGCACTTCGAGATCATCAGCATTTTCTGAAATGGGACATAATGGACGTGAATTTATGACTGCAGAAATTTGGCATATCAGGGTTCGAAATTCCTCAAAGTTTAATGTGGAGGAGCCAACGACGCGTTTTAAGTGAAATTTCGTTAGTTTAATCGAGGCCTCCCAAAGGCCCCCAAAGTGCGGAGAGCGCGCAGGAATAAATTTCCGATCAATACCATTGTTCAAACAGTGATCGTGTATTTCTTTCATACGAGAGGCGTTTAGAAAAATGGCCTTTAGTTCCTTTAACTCGTTTTTTGCACCGAGAAAGTTGGTCGCGTTGTCCGACCATATAGTTTGAAGGCTTTCACGCGTATAAACGAATCTTTTCAAGGCAGCTAGAAACGATTTTGTGGACAAATCTTTGACCAACTCCAGATGGATGGCCTTGGTTGTAAAGCATATAAACAGGCTAACGTAGCATTTTATTGGAGGGCGGTTTCGCACTTCAGATTGATAATGGAACGGCCCGCAGAAGTCCACTCCCGTAGTTAAAAATGTCACACCCGGGTGCACCCTTTCTGATGGTAAACTTCCCATAATGTGCTTCATCAATTTAGGCTTGGCACAAAAACAGCGGATGCATTTATCAACCACACGCGAAACGATTTTTCTGCCCCCAATGGGCCAATATTGCAACCGTATAGATGCCAGTAATGATTGGGGCCCCGCGTGGAGCATTTGCTGATGAAAATGGTTGATTATTAAATCCGTTACCGGATGTCGTTTGGGTAAAATGATGGGGTGTTTCACCTCAAACCCCAATGTGGAGTGCTGCAGCCTGCCGCCAACTCGAATCAACCCATGCTGATCGATAAATGGATTTAGTGATCAAATGTCCGATGAAACTTCCACTTCCTTTCCGGCATCCAAAAGCCGATACCCCTTGTGTAGGCTTGCTCTCTGCATCATGCGAAGAATTAGAAAGTTTCCCTGCTGGATTTCCTTTGTGTTTAGTGGTCCAGAATATTTGGTACCGACAGGCCTCGAAAATCGATAGACGTACGCATAAACTCGTTGTAGCCTCTTAAACGTGTGAAGAAACTTGCAGCTAAGTGTGAGATCTACGCTTACCACCGAGACCAGCGCACGTTTTCGTCGCTCCGGCAAGTCTCGCAGCATAGTGGGACGAGCTGGCCATTTGTGATGGGCTTCACGAAGAAAGTCCGGGCCGTGCTTCCAAAGAGGCAAATTCAGTAGCTCTCTAGGGCTTGTTCCCCTTGACAGAATATCCGCGGGATTAACCTCTGAGGGAATGTGGCGCCAACTCATGCCCTTAGTCAGAGTTTGGATGTTGCTGATTCGATTTGACACAAAATTATTAAAGTTGGATGGTTCATCACGTAACCATGACAGAACTATGGTCGAATCGGACCAACAACAAAATTCACCTTTCAAAATATTTTGTTTCGAGTTGTTGGATACTACCTCGGCTAACAGAAAGGCTGCTCAAAGCTCGAGTTTTGGTATAGTCAGCGTCTTTAGTGGTGCAACGCGGGACTTGGAGCAAAGAAGATTTGTGCGGACGGTTCCATCTTTCCCAGCACGCACGTATACGCACACGTCATATGCTAACAAACTTGCATCGCAGAATGCATGCACTTCTAAGCTAGAGCCAGGGATCAAAACATATATATCAAAACTGAAACGATCAACCAGGGTGTACTCTTCACATATTTCCTTCCAAGTATAATGTAATGATTGTGGAAGGCCTTCGTCCCAATGTAATTTTTCCTTCCAAAGCTGTTGCATGAAGATTTTGGCCTTCGTTATGATGGGCCCGATTAAACCGAGGGGATCATATAGTCGGGCAATGGTGGCTAAAATTGCGCGCTTGGTCAATTTCGATTGTGGCACGAGTGGCGAAAAGGAAAATATGAAGATGTCGGAGTCGGGCTCCCAGACTAGACCAAGGGTTTTTGTGACGTTAGTACCATCATGAAACTGTAATAGATTCTCCCTGTCCTCGGCTGCAACGTCAGCAAGCACACGACGTTCGCTCGAACACCACTTTCGCAATTTAAAATTCCCCTTGGCTAGTAACTCCCTTGTTTGGTGGAGAATTTCACGAGCCTCGCCTATTGAATTGGCGCCAGAAATCATGTCATCCACATAAAAATCTCGGCAGATGACCTTAGCACCGATTGGATACGCATGCCCTTCATCAACGGCCAACTGCCTCATTGCACGGATGGCGAGAAACGATGCAGGCTTCGTACCATAAGTGATGGTATCTAGCTTGTAAACCCTGATGTCTTCACTTGGATTATCCCGCCACAATATACACTGGAGAAAGCTGACTTCATATGCCATCCTAACACAGCGGTACATTTTGAATATGTCGCTAGTAATATCAAATTTAAATGAACGAAATTGCAAAAGAGTGTCAATAAGTGTACGCTGTATAGTAGGGCCTGCCATTAGTAGGTCGTTGAGCGAATAACCCCTCGTCGTTGATGCAGAACCATCAAACACTACCCGTAGCTTTGTCGTTGTACTATGAGCCTTTAAAACGCAATGGTGCGGCAAAAAATTTACAGAAAATCGACTTGGTGAAGGTCATGCGACATATGCTGAAGGTCATGATACTCCTTCATGAACGACGAGTATTGTTGTTTTATTTCCGGTTTATGTTGAAGCTTTCACTCTAAGTTTTTAAAACGGTGAAGTGCCTGTTGATAGGAGTCGCCTAACTGCTTAGCTGATGTCTTTTACCGTTTCTACATCGATTGCGGATGATGGCCTTAGCACCCTTCACGTACCTTCGCCAGAAACAATCCAGCCGAGCTTTGTTTTTTGCAAAAGCGGTAACTGCTCGCTTAGCCGAATTTGACCCACACACAGTAACTTAAAAAACAAACTTGCTCCAATGAGAACTTCTACACGTTGCGACTCAAAAAATAGAGGGTCTGCTAAGCATACGTTTGATGGGATTTTCCACTCAATGTTATTCAAGGAACGAAGTGGCTGAGCGTCTGTGACAGAAGGGGTGACTACTGCCGACAACTGTGTTTGATATTCACCGATGCGCGAATGCATCTCTAGATCAACCATATGATCGGGGACAAAATCAATTTGGCCTATGCCTGAAATTGATGTTGTTGATTTGACTTTCTTCAATTGAAGCTGATTAGCTAAGCGATTGGTGACGAAATTCAGTTGCGAGGCGGAGTCAAGCAACGCTCGACACAGAACGAGTGATCCAGAGCGATTTTTGATAAGTATGATCGCAGTGGCTAAAAGGACGAAATTATGGCCAGGTTCTGCAGTCCCAAGCTTGGAACTAATTAGCGATGTGGGCCCTGGGGGAGGTTGATGCGATAAGAGTGAGCTGGTTTCAATACCAGCAGTCGAAAACAAAGATGATGTAGCTGTATTTGCTGGCAATGTAACAAGATGCGATGACGTATGTGTGACTTGATCTGAGTGTGACAGGAATTCTCTGCAAGAGAGTATGGTGTTTTGCTGAACAATATCTGCAACAGCCAGACTTGCAGTGCTTTAGTGAATTACCTTTTCGTAAGCAATTTAGGCACAGTTGAAGTCGTTTTGCCTCTTTATACCGCATAAGGGGGGTAAAACCAAGAAATGTCTCACACTGGAAAACCGTGTGCTGATGGCTACAAATTAGGCAATTAGTTGTGGCAGATGAAACGAACACCTTGCGGTTACTGCCTAAAGATGAATTTTTGCTCACCTGTTTGTTTGGNAATGTCTCACACTGGAAAACCGTGTGCTGATGGTTACAAATTAGGCAATTAGTTGTGGCAGATGAAACGAACACCTTGCGGTTACTGCCTAAAGATGAATTTTTGCTCACCTGTTTGTTTGGTATTTTAGTTACCAGGGCATGAATCACGTAACTTTAAAACGATAGTCGTTCAAACGATACTGACAAAACGACCTCGTAAAAAGACTGATTTATGCATTTGTGTTGCTGTTACGTGTTACTATTACTGTTACGTGAAGCAAAACTGGAATCGAGTTGACGATATCGTGCAAACGATCAAACAATTTTTGATTTTTATGAAGCAACACAATCTCAACACGATATCGTTCAGACGATTGTCGTCATACGCGATTCATGCCCAGAGCGTCCTCCACCCTCTCCAGCCGCTGACAGCGTCGTTCTAGAAAGTTTGACATAGCGTTTCAGGTTGGTATTTCGTTGTTAGGAGTTTCCTCCTCTCATTTCGTTCTAGAAGCAGTATCCAACTTCTGGCACACCATGTGGATTAACACCCCATCCGCAATTTGCTCCTTAGTTCCCAACGTTGCCAATGCTCGTAGATGTGCGTTTAGCTTGTCACTCAGCCCACGCAAGCTTGCCACTGAACCGGCAACGATGTTGTCCAGCTGAAAAATGGCTCTCACATGTGTCTGAAAATTTAGACGTTTATTTTCAAAACGATTTTTTAGCAACTCAAGCGCCTTATCGTAATTTTGGTCACAAATTTCTAGGGACCGTAATAAAACGCACGCCTTTTCTATTCCGTTCAGCTTGGTGGTTTATTCAGAAGTAAGTAAAATGTGTACAAAGAGTAAAAGTGTATGTATGTATTTAAAGAATGACAGATAAAAAAGAATGAACGTTGATGCAATATTGCCAGATTGCAACACTCCTCCTCAACGTGAATGCTTCCTCTGTTGAACTCACAAGATATTCATGTTGGTTGTAAATTTCTTATGCTTGATTCCCGGGAGATTCTTTGTGAATATGTCAGCTGTCATTTCATCCGTCGGACAATATGATAAAGTAATCATTTTGTCGTTAACCAACTCTCGTATATGGTGATAACGCACATCGATATGCTTTGTTCGGTTGTGGTATACAGGATTAGTCGCTAGCTTTTGAGCGCCTTGGTTGTCGATGTGTAAAATAATTGGTTGATCTTTCGAGAAGCCTATTTCATTCAGCAGGCGCTGCAAATAAACTGCTTCTTTAGCCGCGTTCGATGCCGCTATATATTCGGCTTCTGTGCTGCTTAAGGCTATTGTTGTTTGCTTCCTTGACTCCCACGATATGGCGCATATTCCGTAAAAGAACACGAAACCTGTATAAGATTTGCGGTCATGAGGATCACTTCCCCAATCCGCATCGACGAAGCCTTCGATACAGCTGCCACCTGCACGATATAAAAGTTTAAAATCTAAAGTTGCTTTCAAATATCTCAATATATGTTTAGCAGCGGTCATATGTTCAATGTGTGGATTTTTGTTTCTCTGTGATAATTTTGAGACAGAGTGTAGTATGTCAGGCCTTGTTGTTAAACCTAAGTGCATAAGCGCACCTATCAACGATTGATATTGCTTAGCGTCTGCCTTATTGCAATCATCATCGCACATGGTTTGATAGCCTGCTTCTAAGGGTACTGCTTTAGTTTTGCATTTATCCATACTATATAACTTCAACATATCTTTGACGTATTGTTTGTGACTTAGCGCGATTTCACCTAATTCGCCGCTTCTTTCAATTTCTATACCTAGGAAGTGTTGGATCACATCTTTATCAACTACTTCGAATCTTTCAGCAATGAGCTCTTTTATTTTCAACAGCAAAGGTTTGCTCTTACAAGCAATAAGCATGTCATCCACGTACACTCCAATAAGAATCAATTCGTTTTCAAAATTCATATGATACAAACATGGTTCGTTGTCGCAGGCTTTAAAACCAATTTCTTTTAATACGCCATCTAGCTTAAAATTCCACTGCCTGCCGGACTGTTTCAGGCCATAAATAGCTTTTTGTAATTTTAAGACCTTTTGTGGTTGTTTCTCATCGACAAACTGTTCCGGTTGTACCATATATATTTTATCTTGTAGGTCACCGTTCAAGTATGCAGTACTGACATCAAGTTGATGTAAATGCATTCTTTCTTCTACAGCAATAGCTAAAATCATACGAATTGTACTATAGCGAACAACAGGGGAGAACGTTTCTCTGTAATCAATACCAAATTTCTGTTCGCACCCTTTAGCCACGAGCCGTGCCTTGTATCGCTCGATATCGCCGTCTTTATTTCGCTTCAATGTAAATACCCATCTATTTTTAATAGCATTTTTACCTGGAGGCAAGTCCACATACACCCACGTTTTGTTCTTTTTCAATGCTGCAAATTCTTCTTTCATTGCGTTATGCCATAAATCACGATTCGTACCCGATAGCGCTTCATTAACACTTGATGGTATTTCATCGTTTACCATACCGTTTATTAAATTATATTGTTTTTTAGGTCGTCCAGGCAAACCAGTTCGTAATAACTTCGGTCTACCTCTACCCGCTTTAAGAGTTTTCTCTTCAACTTTATTTTCTATATCAGACTCGCCTGAACTTGCCCCGTCAGCACTGTCATACACGGAGCTATCGCTATCGCTTTCTGTTTCTATTTTTTCAGCTGTCGAACCTACATTTGTGTTTTTCTTCTCCTCCTCGACAAAGAATTGTAGCAAATCAATTGTATCGCTTTCGCCGCAGTCGTTGTTGTACCCCAAAACGCTCTCATTAAATATCACATCTCTTTTTATTACTATTTTGTTAGAATCTTTATCGTACAAACGATATGCTTTGCTCTCTAAAGAGTATCCTACCATAATATACGGTTTGCCTTTAGCATCGAACTTACCATGTGGTGTCTTATTTAACCCTACTGCGACTGAACCAAACGTTTTTAAATGCCTGACCGCAGGTTTTCTATTAAACCAAACTTCATAGGGTGTTTCGTTTTTCAAACATTTTGTTGGGCACCTGTTTCTTAAGTATGCTGCTGTTGATATAGCTTCCGCCCATAAGTTTTGCTGAACTTTGCTATGAATGATCATGCACCTTGCCATCTCGACGAGCGTACGATTAGCCCTCTCTGCCACACCATTCTGTTGGGGTGTATGAGGCACTGTCAATTCGTGGTGTATACCATGCTGTATCAAAAATTTATCAAATTCGTTATTAATGTATTCCCTGCCGTTATCGCTCCTTAGCGCCTTAATTTTGCAACCTGTCTGACGCTCTACATAAGCCTTGAACATTTTAAATTTATCCAAAACCTCGCTTTTTGCCTTTAAAAAATAAACATGTATAAATCTTGATTTGTCATCAATTAGGGTTAAGAAATAACGAGCACCACCCACGGATTTTATGTTTATTGGGCCACACACATCGGAATGGATCAACTCTAATAACATCTCAGATCTTCGTTCAGATTGCTTTGGGAAAGGTAACGTGTGTATTTTACTCACCATACAAGTGTTACAACCAAGTGCTTCATCGCTTCGACCAGACAATTGCATACCACGAACCATATCATTTCTTTGCAATTGAGACAAACTTTGGTAGTTGAGATGACCGTACCGATTGTGCCAAATTTGGTTGCTGTTCAATGCGCACAATCTCTCTTCCTTCAATTCCACCACATACAAGTTGTGCCTTTTCGCCGCTGTTAGAACAAGCTCACCGTACTTGTCGGTTATATGCGCATGCCCGCTTTCGAATTTTATCGACATACCATGTTCTACTGCTTTACTGATGGAAATGAAGTTTGCCTTCAACTCAGGCGAGTACAACACATTCTCCAAGCGAAGTGTTCGTTGTTTTGTTTTTAATAATACATCGCCTCTGCCTAATGCTGTAATTGCTGTATTTGATGCTAGCCAAATTTTTTCATGACATTCTTCATACTGTACGAACATCGATCTCTTATTACACATGTGCGATGTTGCACCGCTGTCCATGTACCAACAGGTGTCGTCGAATTTGCTCTGCATGTTTGTCATTGCAATGACATTCATTGCAGTTTCTCTGGAATTGCGTTTTTCTTTTTCTTTGCATTTGTTCGCGAAATGCCCTCTTTTTCCACATGCAAAGCATTTGAATTTAGATTTATTTTGCGTCTTCTTGTCGTGTTGCTCAAACTGCGGTTTCTTGTAAGTTTTTTCGGCCGCTATAAATGCTTGCTGTGTACTAACCTCTGCCGGTTCGTTCTGCCGCTTGCGCCGCTCGCCCTCCTCTATAAGCTTTATCTTTAATGCGCTGAAACAAGGTAAACTATCTCGGGTTTCCATAGCTATGACAAAGTTATCAAATGATTTGGGTAAGCTAGATAAAAGGATTATACTTAGCAAATCATCCTGGATATTTATTCCAGTCTCCGAGAGTTTGTCTGCGATCTCAGTAAATGCGTTGATGAATTCTTGTGGATTTTCTTCATCCTGCATACGCTTGCTTAAGAGTTGCTTGTATAAAGACACCTTTTGTATCGGCCCTTGCGGCTTGTACACCTCTTTTAATTTCAGCCACGCTTCTGCCGACGACTTGCAGTTTTTAATATAGTTTAGTTGGTTCAATTTTACGCTGAGTATGATAGTAGCTAACGCCTTTTCGTCACTTACTGTCCACAACGCCAGCTCATCCGCATTTGTAGGCTTAACTTCGGTCACTACTTTCCAAAGGCCACCGTGGATAAGTACACTTCGCATTTGCACTGTCCACGTCTCATAATTCGACACATCGAGTTTTTCTATGGCATATAGTGATGAAGTAGCCATTCTGGATTACTTTTATGATACTTGATGACTTCAAAATCGCATGGAAACTTCTGGTCCCATAACCTAATAAAACGCACGCCTTTTCTATTCCGTTCAGCTTGGTGGTTTATTCAGAAGTAAGTAAAATGTGTACAAAGAGTAAAAGTGTATGTATGTATTTAAAGAATGACAGATAATAAAGAATGAACGTTGATGCAATATTGCCAGATTGCAACAGACCGTATGGTGTCTAAAGCAGCATCACGCAGGCTGGAGCGAATGTGCTGAAACTTCTCAATTCTGGTTAAGTCAGCATCCTGGTGGACCACCGTCTTGAACATAGAAAAGAAGTCCGGCCAGTCTGCATAACTGCCGCTGAATTTGGGGATTTTCAGCGTAGGTAAGCCTTGCTTGGGAGGAGCAAAAACAAATGATGGCGGCCCATCAGTAGTTGGCCGCGTGGTTGAATGATGTGCCTCTACGTTACGAAAAGTATGCAACTGCCGCGTCAACTTAATCTTTGCCTCCATGTAATGTGTCGTAAATCTTGCGAGCATCTCTTCGACGTCGTCGTCGTCCTCCACATGAGGTTGTGCAATGTCAAATCTCCCTTCCAAGCGATTCAACTGGTCCAGCCTGACCTCCACAGCAGCTTCGTCAAGACTCAGTACGTATTCAGGTGTCAGCAAAGTATTGATGGACAGCATTTGTTGAGCTAGAGATTCACACTTCTTGCGCTTAAGCTCTCCGTCATCAGGCTTCTTAGATGGTGCCATTCTACAGCTCAGAAGTAGTTACGGATGATTACCAAAATGCCAACCACGTTGGTGTCTTGCCGGGCTTAATTTGGCAGTGAATTTTACTTTCTTTNCTCTTGCGCTTAAGCTCTCCGTCATAAGGCTTCTTAGATGGTGCCATTCTGCAGTTCAGAAGTAGTTACGGATGATTACCAAAATGCCAACCACGTTTGGTGACTTGCCGGGCTTAATTTGGCAATAGATTTTACTTTCTTTCCCGACAAGATCACGTCGGGGTCACCAATGTTAAATAACGTGGTATGCAAGGATGCTCCCAATAATTTTAGATTAATAAAAAGGAAATGCGCAACACAAAAATGCGGTTACGTGACAAATTTTATTTGCGTTTGCCTCGTGTAGGAATTGACAAGTCGAAATGAAAAACGAACGAACAAGCAAAGCAAAAAGAATAAACAATCAGCAGTAAGTCATCGGTGCTGCCAGATTACCAACAAGCGGATTAGTNTATGTACAAATATACGCTCAGAGCGAGAGAGTAACATTGAAAAGTACGGGATCGCTTTCTAGTAANAGCGGATTAGTGGTCTCTACACTCAATTGTCTGGTGAGATCGCTTTGCTTGAGGAAAGTTCTCGGCTAAGCTACAGGAGAGTATTGAGTCTATCTCCCTGCGCGTTGAAAAAGTGGAAAGTAGATGCTGTCGACTAGAAGAAGACTCCGCTGTTGTACTTGGACTATCTGCTGAGCTTAGTGAGGTAAGAGAGGAGTTGGAAAAACTCAAGGAGGTCAAACGATCAGAGAATTCTTCTGACGCCGTGATATTCGGTCTGCCCTTCTCCAACGAGGAAAAGTTGAGCGATATCTTCAACTGCATATGCAAAACGATTGAGTTTACTCCACCACCCATTCGCNCCTGTAAAATTTTGCTTATTTTGTATGTAATCACACTCAGCTCACACATGTAAACAACCAAAAATACTTTCAAATTCATTAGAATCCACTTAAACAGGTAATTAANACTATCTGCTGAGCTTAGTGAGGTAAGAGAGGAGTTGGAAAAACTCAAGGAGGTCAAACGATCAGAGAATTCTTCTGACGCCGTGATATTCGGTCTGCCCTTCTCCAACGAGGAAAAGTTGAGCGATATCTTCAACTGCATATGCAAAACGATTGAGTTTACTCCACCACCCATTCGCGATATTTTTCGAACAAAACGTACGACTGAGCGTCCTNCATTTACCAGAATTTACCAGCAAAAAAATCCCGGACTAAAACTGGTAACTTCTGACAGAGAGAGAACCGTATTTACTCNTTACGGAAAGAAAAATAACTCACCTGTTTCTCTCAAATCAATTGGTTTTGACAGCGACAACACAATCAGCGTATTTGAAAGCCTTTCTGTCGAAAATAGAAAAATTTTGCAAGCTGCGATAAAGTTGAGGAAGCAGAAGAAACTGCATAGCGCTTTCTCGCGACGGGGGGGAGTCTTCGTTCGTGTGTCTGCCAACAGTGAACCTATTGCCATATCTAATAATAGCGAATTNAGTATACGCACTTATGTTTAAATAACTTTTTATTTATTCTCTTAAACTCATTCGCTCACCAATTTTTGTTCTGTTTGTAAAGATAATTTATAACCANGAGTCTTCGTTCGTGTGTCTGCCAACAGTGAACCTATTGCCATATCTAATAATAGCGAATTACACTGTGGAACAAATTCAGGTTAGCAAAAGTTAGGTCGATTCTTAGAGTGAGGGGTGAAAATAGAGGCTAAATTAGAAGACACGTATCGCGGCGTTTGTTTATGTTAGTTCGAATTTTTTTTTATCGATCTTCGAACTTTGCAGTCAAATGCCGATTTTCAGCATATTGTTTATATGGTTTTTTGGCTATAACTCGTCGACTAANATATTTATATTTTATTTTATTCTGTTTTCTGTCTCGGTTTATATGCATATACCCCTAGAAGATGTTGGTAGATAAGTCTATGTATAACAGCNATCGTCGACTAATTGATATTTTTTCAATATGTTAAAACCAAATTATTGCTAGAGACCTGTGCAACAATTAAAATTAAAAAAAAAATTGATTTAGAAAATTTTTGTAGTGCTTATGAAGCAAAATATTGGATTTTTTTTCATGCTTTTTGAACATATTTCCCACAAAACTCAGTCTTTTTTTGCTTTCTGTTTGATCTATAATATGCTTCTCAGTTTCTTCAATAAATTTCATTNTTAACGTGGTTAACTGAAGGATGTACCTCCAGTTCGCGTTAACTAGACATGGTGCAAACGGCCCTTAAAGTTGTCCACTTCAATGCTCGAAGCCTTAATGGTGCAAAGCTTGATTACGTTAGGCACACTTTTGAACATTCGTCTGTTGATGTCATTTGCGTATCAGAAACATGGTTTCATGCAGATATTCCGGATCATTACTACTCNTTTTTTTTCATGCTTTTTGAACATATTTCCCACAAAACTCAGTCTTTTTTTGCTTTCTGTTTGATCTATAATATGCTTCTCAGTTTCTTCAATAAATTTCATTTGAAAAGAAAA